TTAATAAATTTGTCCTAAAGTAAATCAGGTTATGGGAAAGAGAAAAGTAATTTTTGTCCTAAGGAGAAGCTAGGAAAGAAAAAAGGCACAGGACAAATTCTGAATCTAAAAAAGAAAGTTATAAAAATTTTGCAGAAGAGAAACTCTGAGAAAAGAATTTTGTGCATACTTAAGTTGGCTAAGATTAAAATGAGTCTAATTAAGTAAATGAGTTTTAATATCAAAAGTAAGCTGGTGCAAAATTATAATTTGATTTTCTCTCTCTTAAGAGGATAATTTTTTCAGACTTTTAGTCTGTGTTTGATAAAAAGATTATAAAAGATTTTTGTTTACCTTTGAGTAAGTCTACTTAAAAGAGAAATTCTATGTTTTGTCAAAATAATTTCCTATGTTCAGAAAGCTGAGGTCTCTCTATTAAGAGAGCTAAGGGTTTTTTTTTAACCATATATCTCTCTATGTAGGCCTTTAACACCTTCTGTTGTCACTTTGGTTAAATTAATAACTAAGCATTGTTTCACAGTGACCTACGATCCTATCTGACCAAGTGTTTTAAAACTTTTTGATATCTTTATCAAATCTATCTATATCTTTATGGGAAATTTGATATCTTTAATTTCCCAAAAATTCAAATCCTAAATCAAGTCTTTTTTTTTCCTTTTGCCTGAAAATAACTGAGAATTTCCAGTGGGCCCTTGGGACTTCTCAAAGAATTTGTTCTCTCTTCCTATAAAGAGGGAGATATTAAACTAATTAGGCTTGTTTGGTATGTTAAAATACATGGGAAGCATTGTCAAATAAGTGATGCTAAACCTCCCTTATGGATATCCTTGTATGCATACATTATTAATATAAATGTTCTAGAAATTTTATGAAATTTTTTCTCATATGTCCTGGAATAATTATCAGTCTAATTACTATCTTAAAATGGGTGTTACAGAAATAACCAAATTTCCTTACCAATTGCAATTAAAGATCTGTAATCAGATCTTTAACCATGCCATTTTAAGTCTTTTGCCATGTGCAGTTATTGTTTAACTCTGATGCTTTTGCAAATATGTTTCATCTTCAGAGAGATTCATTGAAAGAACTCTGACACTCTAGAATACAGGTTTCTGATAAACTTTCAGATCATAAAACTGAACTGGGTGAGAAGTTATAGAACTCTAATGGAGAAACTGATGGCTTCATAAAACTGCTAACAAAAGATCAAGATCAAGAATTGATTACCTGGACTGATGAGGATGATTATAATATTATGACTTTTTGTTTGAAATCTTGCAGTTTTTTAATGTTTTATTTTTCCAGATTTAAGGAAAACTTTTTCTCTTTTCTCTTAAGCTAACTACGACTTATAACAATTTGGTAAATTATACATTTATAAGCATAACTAAAACATTTATCTTTTTCTCCCTACTTGATCCCTCAAGAATTTGGAAACACTTGATGAGTATTTTTATTTTCCAGGCAATATAGTTATTTGCATAAGTTCAATAAGAATCTGTTCTCCGTATAACAGGACACAACTAGAAAAATTGGTTATTACCAAGGCTTTAGCTGGAATGTCATATTTGAGAGAGACTTGCATAGACTCAGATATGACCAGACAGCTTTAAGGAACAAAGGCTGACTTTATGGAACAAATAAAACCCCTTGGAAATATTGGTCTGGTACCTTGTTTACAGAGTTCCCAGCAACCTTACCAGCTAAACAAAGTCACTTCCTGGTGGGTGCAAGAACCTCAGGATATTTTGAGGACCTTGAGAAGAGACGAATTCACCCAAATCTATAGGTATTGCAGGCACAGTCTGATGACAAGCCCTTGGTTTGGTTTTCCTGGCCTCGAAGAGGCCTTTAAAAGTTCAATCTGAGGGCCCAGCCCGGTGGTATAGTGGTTAAGTTCACGCTGTCCACTTCGGTGGCCTGGGGTTCGTGGGTTGGGATCCCAGGCAAGGACCTATACACTGCTCATCAAGCCATGCTGTGGCTGCATCCCACATACAAAATAGAGGGAGATTGGCACAGATGTTAGTTCAGGGACAATCTTCCTCACCAAAAGAAAAAAAGTTCAGTCTGAGATTCTTTATGAAAAGTTCCAGCAAAGCACATTTTTAAAAGCCTATATGAACACCACATCTGACCGGGCAAGAGAAACAATAGAAAAAATAAACAAATGGGACTACATCAAACTAAAAAGCTTCTGCACAGCAAAGGAAACCATC